GGTAGAATCAGTTGTATTTCATTAAGGAAAAGTATAAAATCTTAACATTAAAACAAATTTTTTTTTTTTATTATAAAGTGGGCCTATAACGAACCACTAAAAGCCTAATATATCATAAAATCCAAGCCCATTAAAAAGTAACGCTTGAACAATTCGTAATCACTACTTCTGCTCTGTAAAGAAAAACCCTCGTAATCATCATCCATCATCTTCTTTCTTCGATTCTTCTTCACAATCTATCCTCTACAATTCTCAGATTCTAGGGCCATTACGCAGAGAAGAACGAATCATTCTTCTAGTAAGTAAAATCATTTTCTTTGGTTTGTGTCGCTTATGAGTTTATCTGAATTTTATTCAGCGGTTTCGTAATTTTACGATCTGGAAATTTCCTCGATTCATGTTCACTTGATAGTTGTTGCTTTGTATAGTAAGATCTCTCAAATGTATTTCTCATTTCAGAGTTTATCTGAATTTCGTAATTCAGGATCTGGGAATCCTCATGATTCATGTTAATTGTTGATTTTATACATTGTCTCTCAAATGTATATACTAAACTCATTATGAAATGGAATATGATTTTTGATTTCAGAGGATTTTTGTAAAAATGGGGAAGAAGGCGATGTCTCTTGAGGTTTTTGTGTCAACGATGGTTCCACTTATAGACATGGAGAAAGAAGCTGAGATTTCCATGTCTTTAACCACTGGTGCTTCAAGAAACATCGAAACTGCTCAGAAGAAAGGCACGACGATTCTCAATTTGAAATGTGTTGATGTTCAGACAGGTCTAATGGGGAAATCTCTTCTCGAGTTTCAATCGAACAAAGGAGATGTTCTTCCTCCTCACAAGTTTGGTAACCATGATGTTGTTGTTCTGAAACTGAACAAAGCTGATCTTGGTTCTTCTCCTTTGGGACAAGGAGTAGTTTATCGGTTGAAGGATTCTTCGATAACTGTTGTTTTCGATGAGATCCCTGAAGAAGGGTTAAACACTTCTCTTCGGTTGGAGAAACTTGCAAACGAGGTGACGTATCGTAGAATGAAAGATACATTGGTACAGCTGAGTAAAGGTGTGCTTAGAGGACCTGCTTCTGATTTAGTCCCTGTTTTGTTTGGCGAGAAAAAACCAACGGTTGCAAAGAAGGAGGTTGAGTTTACGCCGTTTAACAAGAACCTTGACCAATCTCAGAAAGATGCGATTTCAAAGGCGTTATCTTCAAAGGATGTGTTCTTACTTCATGGACCTCCTGGTACCGGAAAGACAACAACGGTGGTGGAGATTGTTTTACAAGAAGTCAAACGCGGTTCAAAGATTCTTGCTTGTGCAGCTTCGAATATTGCAGTCGATAACATTGTTGAAAGACTTGTTCCTCATAAAGTAAAGTTGGTGAGAGTTGGACATCCTGCACGGCTTTTACCTCAAGTATTGGATAGTGCTCTAGATGCTCAGGTTCTAAAGGGAGATAACAGCGCTCTAGCGAATGACATCAGAAAGGAAATGAAGGCCCTAAACGGGAAGTTGTTGAAAGCAAAAGATAAAAACACAAGGAGAGGAATACAAAAGGACCTTCGAGCTTTGGGTAAGGAGGAGCGTAAAAGGCAGCAATTAGCTGTATCAGATGTGATTAAGAATGCCGATGTTATTCTTACAACTTTGACTGGTGCATTAACACGAAAGCTCGATAACACAACTTTTGACTTGGTAATCATCGATGAAGGAGCACAGGCTCTTGAGGTAGCTTGTTGGATAGCTCTGTTAAAGGGTTCACGATGTATACTTGCAGGAGACCATCTCCAACTACCGCCGACAATCCAAAGCGTTGAAGCTGAAAAGAAAGGATTAGGGATAACGCTCTTTGAACGGTTAGCAGAGCTTTATGGAGATGAGATCAAGTCCATGCTTACTGTCCAATATCGTATGCATGAGCTTATTATGAACTGGTCCTCCGAAGAGCTTTACGATAAAAAGATTAGTGCGCATTCAAGTGTTGCCTCACATATGCTTTATGACTTGGAGAAGGTAGCAAAATCTTCTGCAACCGAGGCGACTCTCCTATTAGTAGATTCTGCTGGGTGTGACATGGAAGAAAAGAAAGACGAGGAAGAGAGTACATATAATGAAGGTGAAGCAGAAGTTGCAATGGCACATGCCAAGAGACTAATGAAGAGTGGAGTTCAAGCCTCTGATATTGGAATCATTACACCGTATGCTGCTCAGGTTATGGCGCTTAGGATTATTAGAGGCAAAGAAGAGAAGCTAAAGGACATGGAGATTTCTACGGTGGATGGTTTCCAAGGTCGAGAGAAAGAAGCTATCATCATTTCCATGGTTCGATCAAACTCAAAGAAAGAAGTTGGATTTTTAAAGGACCAAAGGCGAATGAATGTGGCTGTTACTCGCTCCCGTAGACAGTGTTGTCTTGTCTGCGATACAGAGACAGTGACCAGCGATGCTTTTCTGAAACGTATGGTTGAATACTTTGAGGAGCACGGTGAGTATCTCAGCGCCTCTGACTACACCAATTGGTAAGGTGCGAATTTCATAAAATCTCGGGCCAAAAAATAGAGCCAAATAATTCACTAGCTAGTTTCAGATCCGCAAAAGAGATGAATAGTTACTCTAATGGTTATTGCTCTATGTGCATTTAGAACAAAAGAAACAGAAGCTTCAATGTGTTAAAGTGGATTTTCATAAATACATTCTTGAGGATTGGCATAGAAGTAATCTTCTTCCTTTGGCTTATCAGAGATTACTTTCCGATGTGTTGGTTCTCCCATACTTCGTCCTCCATGGGCTTCCTTGACAGCTACTGCAAACTGATCCCAAGAGATCGTCTTGTTGTTATGCAAGTCCAGAAGCTCCACAAGTCTCTTCCGGTTTAGCAAGATTGTTTTCTTAAACCCGACATATCTGCAAAAAGATGTTCATTTCAATAATCTTGCTGTGAATTATAGCTTGAATTGAATTTTAATTATAGAAAATTACCTTCGATGTCCTTCAACAACTTTTGCCATGTTTCCATAGTAGGTAGGAATAAAAGTGTCGCTAGCTACCGATACTAAGAAATCTAAAGCTGCCATTTGAGATGAATGGTTCTGAAATTGTTGCAGCTCCATTGGATCTAGTAGCATTTCCTTTTTAACCTGAAACCACCCATGTGTAATTATCATCACCAAATATTGTAACATTTTGAAACTGCATAATGGTGAAAGTGATAAAAACTCACAATTCTTGGAAATGATTCCTTTAAAAGGGCTAGTCTCCTCGCACCGCCGTAAATCTCACCAGCTGCAATGTATATCTGTGTATCCTTTTGGAACCCTAATGCTTTTAGGACCAAAACTGACTCCTCGGGTGTTAATGGACACAGCCCTTGCACTCTTCTCTGCTCAGAGACTATCTCTTTCTCTCTCCACCAAGGATATGCATACCTAGAACACATCAAGAATCATGAAAACTCGAGATTTTGAAAAAAAAAAAATAGCATCAAGCTAGGACAAACTTTTACCGCATCTTTTTAAGTTCTTCAGCTTCTTCCTCGGTGCAGCCATGAGTGCAACCAGAGAAAGCCAACATGTCCATCTCATATCTAAGATGCAAAGCCACAAAAGACCCTCTTTGTTGGAGAATCCGAACTAACTTTGATCCCAAAGCCTCAATCCGCGGAGTGAATTTCAGTCCTTGGAAATTCACTCGGCATCTCAGCCTTTGTATATCGAGAGAAAGACCATTGTTCGCCAATCGGGCATCACTCCTACTGAAACGTATAACTTTATATTTTATAAACAGCGGCAATACCTGAACAAGAAATCCGATCAATCAAAACACAGATCATAACCATAGACAACTTACAACGAAGAAAATAGCAAATAAACCTTTTGCAAGTAATACTTGTCATCTGACCAGCTTACGGGCGCCATTTCGAACAATCGGTATCCATACTTCTTGCTATACCGTTTCGGAAGCCTCCTTAAAATCCGAACTTCATCTCTTAATGAATCAATGAAATGCCTTATATCAAAAATATCCTCAAAGTCACTGCAAAAGTAAACTTTTAGATTACTACTAACTGAAGCTAAACAAATGCTAGGGACTATCTACATTACATACCTTGGATCAGCCCAAAAAGATTTCTTATCAAGCTCAGGAACAACAAGAGTCAAGTTCAATAGCCTAGCCACAGTCACCATATCACAAATCTGAACACAACACAAGCATCAAGCTCTCAAAACCCTAATTCAGCAATTCAGAGAGACAGAAAGAGCAATGA